CTAATTTATATCATACAATTGCAATCTGTTTTGAAGCTTTAGCAGAATTTGATCAGGTACGCTTTTATTTATTTAATTTTCGTACTTTATTTTCTACATATTTCTTTTTATTTTGTACTGTATTGTACTTCGCTACATGTCCAATGCATTTTCTTACCACATTCTACATCATAGTCTCTTTGTCTGTTCTTTGTTGTACTGTATACATTTATTAGTATTTATGCTTTAGTTACTACCTTTCTAGTATGTTTGTGCAATTTCCTAGGATAGGCCGTTCGAGACGTGGTTTTTCTCTTTTCTTTATCCCTCTTCTCAGAACAAAACGACGGCGTGGTCGGTTGACGATTCATCTCTGGACAACGGTCGAGACAACTACCAAAGACAGAAGGATGAGCTTATGCAGAACCTCGATAAATTTAAATAACATACCTATAGGACGTCGAGGTTGTTTGTCTGACGTAACGTAAATCCTCACATTATCTTGTAGGACTTTCAACGATTTTATAATGCACAGTCATGTTGTGTAATATAAATCCTAACTCTTTTTAGGATTCCAAGGTCGTCGTTTAGTATGACATAAACCCTCATATTTTCTCGGACTATTTGCATATGACGAACATCTAAATAATTTGCAGGACTGAAACATCACATTAAATAATTTGCAGGACTGAAACATCAAATAATTTCTCTTTCAAAGACGTAATGTCAGACCGTAGATTAATTTGAGATGTCACTGAATCTCTTTCAGTATCTTCGACATTTCCTACTTTTCATTCCTTTGGATTATGAAAATAACTGTTTCTATTTGAACCCATCCCATTGAACTTTTCCTATGAACAATCGTGGAAACTTGAACGTTGAATTCTTGGAGACGAAACCTCTGATCATGATCGAGAGTTTTCTTAGGTGACTTCGGTTGTCTAAGGTGTAATTAACTATAAGTGTTTGCTCCTATAGAGAATTTAAGAACCCAGATTAATCTAAACCCTATCTGATCTGTGTATTAGATATGAGAATTTGCCGGCTATAAATTTCGCAGAACAAAATAGAGTCTTAAACTTTTAAGTTTAGATAGTTAAGCCTACCAATAAGTGATACGTTCATCCTTCGAGATGATATATCATTTAAGGTATTGTGCTCAGCTATTTTTAGATATATGAGGTCTACTCGGACTCATCATTTTTCAAAAATAAAGGATACTATTTTCACATAATTAAAATTACATTATATGTATATATATTAAATTTTAAATTTAAATTTTAAAATCTTATTTTCGAAAGAAAAATAGCCGACACACGCCCCTTAAACTGCAACACCACAGACTTCAGGATACATTTAAGGTCTGTTTGGGACAGCTGTAGATTATATATAATATGTTGATAAGTAGATTATCCTGATAATCTGATAATCTGCAGATTATCAGGATAAGCTGACTTGTTATTTGGGGGAGTTTATTCAAAACAGGTTATTGACAGTTATTGCTGGATAAATGATCATTCTGCCTCCGTTTAGTGAAACTGTTTGAATCAGAATTGTATGGGCACATAAATAGATAAAATAGAAGCCGCAAACAATTACAAATCAGTTCAAAAAGATATCATAGAGTGCTCACTCTCTCGTGAGTATCAAAAGAAATAGAATAAAGATAAATATAATTACAACTACAATTAAAAATATTAAAATTTTTCATTTAAAACTCTGAAGATACCTGCCATCAACTACACTGTCGTCCTGGGAAACCATCGTATCCCGATCACTGTTGGCAGTGCAATATGTCGGAATGTCAACCCAACAAAAGAAACCGCAACGAGTTGAAACGCCCCTGTGCCAATTGTAGAACTGTCTCCCACTGCTGTGAGGCTGGCGTGACGTAAGGGAGCTGGTAGTCCGCAGTCCACAACACAACTTCGCAGGTCCCTGAATTCTTAGAGTTCATGTTGCTAGAGAGATAAAAAAGAAACAAATTGTCAGATTAAAAAATTAAATTTTATGTATAGCTACAAGAAAATAGAATTAAATGAAAACCGTATCGAACTAATAAGTTAAAAAAAATGTGAGTGCCCGGTCTCAGACAAGTAACTACACCAACCCTAGCGTCTGTCACTACAAGGAGACAGTGGACCTTCAAATAAATGAGTTCTTGGTTGCCTTTAACCCACAGGGACGATCGTACTGGGTTACATGTGTCTATCACCAAAAAAAAATTCATCCAGTAGATTTTCATATACCGTAGCACTGAAAAGAATAGATGATCTAAGTTTCTTTCTTAAGTATTTCACACGCAATACCAACAGGATACGTTTGCCCTGTGTCATATGTGCATATCATCAAAGAAGGTCATCCAAATAAATCCTCATAATCCGATGCACTCAAAAGAATTGAGGATATCAGTTGCCTTCACTAGGAATACACATGCAACACTAAATAACAACAACGAACATACCATCCAAAAGAACCTATAAGGCCATATTTTTCACTATTCATCACTGACCTCAGACACCCAAAAAAAATAAAAAAAAACCAAAACTAACAAATAAAAACAAATTTTAGACACGTCATTCTGATATATTCGAAAGTATAAAAGAAAGAAACGAACTTCTTATGAAAATCATAAAGTCTAAATTCACAATGGAACAAAATGCATACAAAATAATCCCAGAGTATGTAAAAGGCAAATGTAGTCACCAAATTTTTTATATAAAAATTAAAATAGTCCATCCATAGGACTGTTTTGGTCCCCATCTAAAGAGTCTAAGAACTGTTTTAGTCCATATGTAAATAGTCCAGGGACTAAATTAGTATTTTATATAGCCTAGAAATATTTTGGTCCCCTGCAAACAATCGCAGTATCATTTTGGCTCTTGTCTCTTATCCATTTATTCCTCTCACCAAATGATACTAGAAATATTAAACCAATTTCAACTAATTAGGTTGCTAGTTCTGAAGCAATAATGTAAAAGACAGTGCAATTGAATTTGAAAGCAAGAGAATTAAACACATTGACACCAAAACTTCAGTGAAGATTAAACCCACTTTACTGACGTACAGAATCAGGAGAAAGAGTCCCAACCAGGATGACACAATGTGTTTTACCATTTTAATATTTGGAAATATAGCAAGAAAATAAACATAGCTTAGAAATCCTATTAAATGAGTGATATAAACTATGTGCCACAACGGTACTTAAAAAATTATAATGCAAATCTTGAAAATTTTCAATTTGGAAGCAATTCTTTGAGGAAACACAATTTAACGGCATTAACCACACATTGCTCAAGACTATGTGGCAGGGAAAGATGACAAGAGCCAACCCCACTCTCCAAACAGCTCTGCCACAATCAACAAGGATTCAAACATATGCCATCCTTTAACACAGGTGTTATAATCCAAAAAGATCACTCCACAATTCTGATTCTCACTGGAAGTATACACTTAACACCAAAAGCTCAAATTAGAAAAATTGGGTGCGAGCATTCAACACAATGGATCATCTCCTCACACAAAAATATACCAACTGAAGTATGATCACCAAGTCTAGTATTAAAGAATGCTGAGCAGAATGTAAAACCAACATTCTCGAACAAAATCATGAAGTGTAATGTTTCAGATCTATCATGCAAACCCACTAGAAAATTGCCTGCAACTCCATCTCAAAAAAGAAAAAAAGCAGCAGGGAAATCGGACTATTGATGCCGTCTTTCCACAGGATCATGCAGCTAGGTGAAAGTGAGGGTTTCGTTGAAAACATACCTCATATGAGGCGAAGGAAGGATGAAGGAGCAGCTAGGGACAAAATGAGGTGGAACGACCGGCGAGAAGGAGACACGGTGTCGATCTTCGCGAGGGTGAAGAACCAGAAGGAAGATCGGGGAGGGGGAGGGCGAGGTCGAGGGCGAGGGAGAGCAGAGAAGGGCATGAGAGGAATTATTTACCCGAACACGAGAAGGAGACGCGGGACGCGGGACGCGGGGTCGATCCCGCATTCCCACCTATTATGGAAAAGGAGAACGGCGTTTCAGAGCGGCTCCAAAATGCGGGGCAAATGTATTTTTCAACAGTGCGGCGGCGTTTTCAAAAGGCCGCCGCACCCCAGTATGCTGCCCCAAACGGGCTCTTAGTTGTGCTTGTTTGTGCTGGTTATTTTATTTTCCTGTTTTCAAGTGTTTTGTTTGTAACCTTTTGAATTTCAGAAATAATATTTGCATTTATATTATGGTTTGAGTTAACTCCAGTATCAATTAGATGAATGTGATACTCTAGGAATGAATTTGTTACATACAAATAGATGAGGGAACATTTTGAGACTTATATTATTTTCATATGATCAAATTAAGCTTATTATCTAAATAGCTCGGTAGCACTAAACTTATCAAATGTTGTTCTTGGCGCAAATGGACACTTAATTAAGCTGGCTTTAAATTCACATTTGATGCTTAAAATAGTTCCCAAATCTGGAAGACGTGGTCATCCCAAAAATGCTGACTAATTTTAATTTAAGAAGGGTGCACAAGCACTTTGCAAAATCCATACTCTAGGCTAAATCTGGATTGAGATTGCATCTCTAAAAACCATTTGGTAGGATTTCTTGCAAAGTTGGCTGAGAATTCCCTGTTGAAGCCAAAAGTAAGCAGCCCCAAATTGATGGTTTTGGATGGATGCAGAAAGATCTTCTTGATCCTTTATCCGTGGTCATTTTGGGCGGATTAGTTTGGTTTTCAATATCTTATTGTATGCATTTTTATTTGAGTTGTTCAATGGACATTATACTGCATCTTCGAGCAAATAATGGCAGTCCCTTGGTCTATTTGTTTCTCAAGCAATTTCTGTTTGTTTTTCTATTTCTCTGGAAGCATCAACTCTAGGGATAAAGTATTTAATTAAGCTTCCATTGCATTTTTACCTATTTTTCTTCACGCTTGATGTATTCTTCGAATCATGTTTCAATGAGATAACCAATATAATTGAATACAATGCACGGAAAATTACAATGTTACGTGCAGGTCAACTTCTTGTGCAAGCTGGTTGCCTTAAGACCAGCAAAGAATGTCCAGATAATGATTAAAAATGTCTTGCATGGCCAAGATGAAGGTGCTGACAACATGGGAAGTGAAACCAGGGATTCTGGAGGCCTGCAGCAACAGTTACTGGGTGGAATAACTGGAAGGGTCTGTTGTGATTTCTCTGATTTATTCTTTAATTGTCCTCTTTCTTTTCGACCGTGAAGCAGTTCGTAAGCATTCTTATTTGTTAGGACGTTATTATATACATAAGCTACATGCAACAACAACAACAACAACAACAAAGCCTTAATCCCACTCCGTGGGGTCGGCTACATGAATCCTTTTTCTCTATTGCATCCTATTTAGAGTCATATTTTCATTTAGTTTTAATAAATTAAGATCATTTTTTATACAATAAGCCCAAGACTTCCTAGGTCTATCTTTGCCTTTCTTAACGTAAGTTGAATCTAAAATATCTACTCTCTTAATCGGATCATCAGATGGTCGATGCTTAATGTGACCAAACCATTTAAGACGAGTTTCTCTAATTTTGTCCGTCATAGGAGCTACACCAACCCTATCACGGATATAACCATTTCACATTTTGTGTTTAACTGTAAAGCCACTCATCCACCTAATCATTCTCATCTCGACAACACTTAACTTAGTATTATGCTTCTCTTTTAAAGGCCAACATTCAGCGCCATAGAGCATTGCAGGTCTCACCACCGTCTTATAAATTTTCCTTTCAGTCTAAGCGGTACTTTTCTATCACACAAAAGGCCCGAAACATTCCTCCACTTCAACCAACCAACTTGAATTCTACTATTAACATCCCCATCTATTCACCATCGCTTTGAACAACAAATCCAAGATATCTAAATCGTTCACACCTTTAAAGCATCGTGCCACAAGCATTCTAATCTTTTTTCTTGATCTTTTGAAGGGAAGCATATCGGGTCGTAAGCCACGTCCTGTTCGCCCTGGCATGTTCCTCGAGACTGTTACCAAGGTGATCCAGTTTTGTTTCAGGATTAAGATTTTCACTTGCGTTGTAAATGTTATTTGGTTTTGTTTTGCTGTTTCTTGCTTTGGTAGGTTTTGGGTGGAATATATGCAGGAAATGTGTCTGGCATCACGGCTCAACATTTGGAATGGGTATTCATTATTAACTTGGTGCCACTACTTTCAAAACTCAAGCCAAGTGAATGAATTAAACTCTCCTTGCAGGTTCATGAGAAGACATTACAAATACTTCAGGAAATGGCCTTTAGTTGAAGTTGGTGCTCCTATTTGGTGACTTGAGCTGCCTTTGACTTCTGAGGTGAAATAACTTTTTGGAATTATAAACCAGAATTTGGATGCCTTCTACTTTCTTTTCAGGATTGAGCACGTATTTACCTTACATTTGTCCATATCAGCTGCTAGTTACTTTTTTAAAAACAATGTATCCATCAGAACTGTGTATGATAAATGGATTTTTCCCCCATTCATTTAATTTTTAAACTATTATACTGGAAATATTTTTCAATAAAAATAATTGTGAGATATTAATTTAAAAAATTAAAAAGTTTGTATGATAAATGGATTTTTTTTCCACTTATATAATTTTCAAACTATTATGCTGGAAATGTTTTTCATTCATAATAATTGTGCTGAACGTCGGCCAGCTGATGATTCAATTAGAAGAGTAGATGTGTTAGGTTCTGACTTATGTTAAGAAAGATGTAGAGCTAGTTAAGACTTGGGCATTATGTATAAAAAATGATCTTCATTTATTATAATTAAATGAAAATATGACACTAAATAGGACGTAATGGAGAAAAATGATTCTTGTAGCCGACCCCACTTAGTATGATAAAGGTTTTTATGTTTTTGTTGGCATAATAATAATTGAGTTATGAATTAAAAAAATTAAAAATTTTGTGAGTTATTTACTATGATTTTATATTTTTAAATGATAGTTTTGTGCTGGATAATTTGTGGCAATGGAGATATATAAAGGAGGAAAGGGTGAGCCGTCTTGGAGATGGGGAGAGCTAAACCGAACCGTGACTACAAGGTTTTGGTATGTTTTATTTTTATAAGAACTTTTTATTTGTTTAATTAAATGATATTAAATTAATTTTTAAATGAATATCAGTGATCTGATTTGGAAGGTTCGAATTAGAGGAACACAACCTCCGTGCGAAATATAAAGGAGGAAAGGGTGAGCCGTCTTGGAGATGGGGAGAGCTAAACCGAACCGTGACTACAAGGTTTTGGTATGTTTTATTTTTATAAGAACTTTTTATTTGTTTAATTAAATGATATTAAATTAATTTTTAAATGAATATCAGTGATCTGATTTGGAACCTTCGAATTAGAGGAAAACAACCTCCGTGCGAAGTTCATGTGGGGGAGGTCGACCCAAATATTGGAAGAAGGTTAATGTTAGAGCTTAAGGCTTTACATATATTTGGTTAATTAAATATGTCATGATATTAATATTAAATTTTATGAATTAAAATTATGTATTATAAGTGGAAGGTCTTGATGAAAAGAAATATCGATCTGAGCAAATTTTGGGAAGTAGTGTGGGTGTTTTATTGATATAAGATGTTTTATTTAATTAATTAAAATTTTGTTAAGTATATACTAGTATTATGAATTAAAGAAAATTTGGTTCAATGGATTAGGATTTCGATCGTGGTTTGGGCAAAAAAAATGGATTCAAAGAAAAGGTGATGATAAGATGTAGATGATTAAGCTTGTAAGGAGTTCCTTCAAAATAAAGACGAGTAATTGCTTTCTTATGTGTATTAAATTAATAATTTATATAAAAAAAGGCTTGCTTTATTGTCTTAAGTATACATTGCTTTATTGCTTTAAAAAATATCTACTTTTTTGATTATATGCATATTGAAAGTTAAAGAATATTTGAAATGAAAATAAATATAATGAGGAAGGGCAAATGGTTATTCAATGACTTTAAATGGATAAAATAAAAAGGAAATAAAATTTATAAGGATAAATTCAATCAATATGCATCCTCTTATGGTACTAGTTGGGGACGCTATTGTAACCATGTGCGAAAAAAGAATTGTCAATGGTAAAAATTTACCTTCGGGTGCAAAATTTTAAGGGTACCTAAGGTTATGAGTTTTTGAAGATGTCTTTGGTTATGACGATAATCCTGATATGAATTTTTAATAAAATGTTAGAAAGGTAAATAGTTAAGTTGATATAGGAAGTATTAATTTATACTGAAAGATTACAATTTGATTAATCAATGAATCACGTTTCTTTTTGAGATTCATGCATAACTTTTATATCTTAAATAATACATAATAAGATTGTATTGTTTTACCAAGTTGTGTTAAATTTACTGTTTAAATTATGTGTTTCTTTCAAATAAAATATTAAATGATATGACTTACATGATGGATTTAGTTCACTAGGGGACTACTGATACTAAGTAGCAGGTTGTTTGTTATGGTTTTAGTTTCTTGTAGTGTTTAATTTAGATTGATATTGTACTATTGTTTCTTTGGTTGAATATGATATAATTTAGTATAATTTTGTGTTTTTTAGTGACATTTTTTATTATTGAAAGCTATAATGGTTTATTGTATAATCGTAAAAGAAATGATAATACGGTCGAGCTGCAATTTCTGACTTGGTTAATTCTAAGCTATCAGCCGGGACATGACAAAAGTGGTAGCTGAGAATTTAGGTTCGAATAATGATCAGAAGTTGTCATTAGGTTGATTGAATTAGCTCCTAGATAATATTAATAAAGGGTTTAGTTGTGTCTAACTATCATCTTTTATATGTTATTTTAAAAATATGGATAATTTAGAAGAAGTTAGATAGAGTAACACTGGGACTGATACATCTCAAAATATCTCATGAACATAGATGCTTATATTGAGATGATGACTATAGTGATTGAGATGATTAAGAACTCTCAGTCTCAGACTAGTTTTAGTGGGGGAGGCCAAATGGAAAAAAAATTAAAGTTGTTTCAGGATATGAGGCTACATCTCTTTTTTGGAGGAAGTCCAGTGGATACTGAGAACTAGTTAATGAGAGTGGGGAAGCTTATAGGTGAGTCGTTTTATCCACTAGAGAGGATGGGTACACTTGCCACTTTTGCCTTTAAGGGAGCTCAGAGATGGTGGCATGAATAGTTACAGAAGAAGTTTGGAGATAGAACCAACCAATTGGGTGTAGTGGGAGGAGATTGTGGCAACATTTAGAAACTAGTTCATACCACTATTAGTTGAGGGATAGATGCATGACACATTTATTAGGCTGTTGCAGGGTGATTGTTCGATCTTGCAATATGAGGTAGAATTCACCATACCTTCAAGATATGCCCCCTAGTTGGTTCCAAATGTTGAGGATAAGTGTCATAGGTTCCTCTTGGGATCAAAGATTATTTTGTTTTGTGGAGTGGGCTAGGAGGATTGAACTGGATTTATAGGCTACACACAGGTAAGGGTCTTTCGGAAGAGGAAGAATTTAGAGGTATTCATGTTTCCTCAGGGCTCTCAGTGCAGATAGTTCTTCCAAACAAGAAATATAAGTGCTAAGAAGGCCAGACCCAAAAGTTTTTATAGATCTAATGAATAGAGTTTTCACACAATTTTTGGATACATTTGTGATTTTATTCATAGATGATATCGCGGTGTATTCGAGAGATGAAGCCAACCATATAGATTATCTGCATGCTATTCTATAGGTTTTGAATGAGAACAAATTATGTGCTAAATTCTCTAAATATAAACTTTGTTAAACAATTGTGGCTTTTCTTGGTCATATTATCAGTGAAGATGAGATATTTGTGGGTCAGAATAAGATCAAGATCATTGCTGATCTACCAATACCAATTTCTATTATTGAGGTCAACGGTTTGCCAGGTCTGGCAGGTTATTATAAGAGCTATGTTGAAGAATTTTCTCATATAGTTGTGTCTTTATTAAGAATAACAAAAGAATCTGTTTGGTTGAACTGATCATTGTGAAGAAGCTTTTCAAAAATTAAAGTTTGGATGAGTGCTCCAGTGTTGAGTATTCCTTCAGGGTCAAACGAGTTTCAGATTTTTTAGTGTTGCATTTTTAAAGGTTTGGAGTTGTATACTTGTGCAACATGGAAGGGTTATTATCCATGCTTCAAGGTAATTAAAGAATCATGAAAAGTACTATTCTACGCATGTCTTGAAGTTAGTTTTAGTTGTATTTGCACTTAGGATTGGTGTTTTATTTAAGTGTTTTAATATTTAAAGTTATTTTATTTGATTAAAACTTTTTTGTATTTGCAATTCAAAGTGTTCTAAGATTTTGGTTTAAATTTTTCTTAAAGATTTTAATATATATGTTTTATTTTCTTTTTTGCTTAGCTAGGTTTTAAATTATTTCTTTTAAAAAGTTTTTCATTATTTTTATTTAGGTTTTAATTTTATGTTATTACAATTTTTGAAAGGTTTTGAATTATTTTATTTAGCTTTTAAATTTATTTTAAATTATTTTTAAAAGGCTTTTAAATTTATTTTAAATTATTTTATTTAGCTTTTAAGTTTATGTTAAATCATTTTTAAAATTTTATTATATTTAGTTATTAAATTTGTTTTGAATTATTTTTAAATGGTTTTAATTTATTTTATTTAGTTTTAAATTTTAATTTAAATTATTTTTAAAAGGCTATAAATTATTTTATCAAGGTTTTATATTTTTTAAAATTATTTTTAAAAGGTTTTAAATTATTTTCTTTATGTTTTAAATTTATTTCATCATAATTTTTATTTTTAAATTATTTTAAATTGTTTTTTTTTATTTTCTTTGAAGCTACTTTTAAATTGTTTTAAATTGTCTTAAATTATTTTAAGGATCATCTAAAAGGTTTTAAATTTTATTTCTTATTTATTTTTGTTTTTTTTAAATATTCTTTGTTTAAATTGCTTTAAAATTTTTTAAAATTGTTAGGAAAAAAATTGAAGGCAAATAAGAGGATTGAAGAAGAAAGAGTTCGGGAAAATAAATTGGAAGAGGGAGAAGAAAATTGAAAAAGATGAAGAAATTTAAGAGAAAAAAGTTGAAAGATATGTAAAATGAAGAAGATGAAAAGGTAGTAGAAAAAAGCAAAAAAGTGATGTGTATGAAGAAGAAGAAGAAGAAGAAGAAGAAGAAGAAGAAGAACAACAACAACAAAAACAAGATGATGAAGAAGAAGATGAAGAAGAATAAATGGGTTGTGTGGAGGATTCGGGAAAATAAATTGGAAGAGGGAGAAGAAAATTGAAAAAGATGAAGAAATTTAAGAGAAAAAAGTTGAAAGATATGTAAAATGAAGAAGATGAAAAGGTAGTAGAAAAAAGCAAAAAAGTGATGTGTATGAAGAAGAAGAAGAAGAAGAAGAAGAAGAAGAAGAAGAACAACAACAACAATAACAACAAGAAGAAGATGATGAAGGAGAAGATGAAGAAGAACAAATGGGTTGTGTGGAGGAAAAA